TGAGTCCACTTTGATAGGATGTTTCCCCGCTCGTGTTATCTGGAACATGTAGAGAACCCCGCTGGCAGACAATGACATCCCATCCATGCAAGCGAAGTTTAATGCCTTTGGCTTACAGTATGCATTCGGCATGATCACCCACTCCTCCAAGTCTCTGATTGATGATGCAAATTCAATGTACGGTTGCGATCTCTTCAACTTCAGCTTCTTTAACCCGTTTCTATCGCCCTTATCCTTCTCCAGCCTTCGCAGATTGTATTTTCCTCCTCCCTTCAGCACCTCATGCGCAATGTGTTCAAAAGCTACACCTGCTGCTGACTCATAGCCAGAATTAGGACTCGAAAAAGCAAAGTCGACAACATGATCCCAATCCCTTTTCACAAGGGCCTCAAATATCATCGTCTCGGCCTTCTTCGAGCATATTCGAGCGGTAAAGGATCTGTAGTCAGTGCTGGGGGAAAGGTGAATCAGTTTCGATGGCATTCCAAGGTCTTCATTCACTGCTGCATCCATCTTCCTCTTGAGTGATGACACTGATTCTATTCCTTCAACAGCCTGCTCAAGTGTCTCTAAAGGTTTCACGACGATATTTCTCGGCACATTGCCCCAATCCTCTACGATCTTCATCACTTCATCGGAGTCAATACGCCCCCATTGCATCATGATGAAGAGTGACATCTCATCGTCTGACCACAACGGCAAGAAATATCTCTTCGCCGATCCAGTATTCACAATTTCCTTGAACATCCCATACTTCGGTGAAGAGATTATGATTGTTTTGGCGGTTCGTGACATTGAATAGCTCCCCTGGTTTTTGTACAGATCACAGATATACCAGCGCCTAAACATTTGGAGAAAGCGTTGCGCTACGGATCCATCCATGAACAGGTTCCATGCTTCTCCATCAAAGTACCAATATTCACTCCCTATCTGATACACTACTTCCTCACCAGGCCGGAGGAGCTGAAGAAGTAAGAAGTATGCGAAGCAGGACTTCCCGATCCCTGGAGTACCTGTGAGGATCACTTGATGGCATCCTTGATTGGTGTCCATGCCCTCTAGCGTCTCTGGGTCCAACTTGAAATCCTCTGCAATTTTCCGCCTCATCTCGAAGTAGCACTCTCGTATGAAGAGCTTGTTTCCAAGTGTCTCGTGGCCTCCTAAGCATGCGGAGAAGCTGACGTATTCATTAGCCCGTAAAACCTTTCCTGCGCATGCGGTAGTCCAGAGCTCTTTCAAGAAACTTAGCATGCCAACTAGCATAAGTCCTGTTAGTACCCATGATAGCCACATTCAATTCTGTTTCACCTTCAGGTCTTGACACACTGTCTCTAAGTTGCACAGGACGTGGAATAAGCCTCTCAACCTGCTCATCCTTGTCCAAGAGCAGCTTCTCCCTGTCTAAAAGCCGCTGCTGGTACGCTACAAGCTGCTTCTTGTCCTCTACAAGCTGCTGCTGGTACGCTACAAGCTGCTGCTGGTACGCTACAAGCTGCTGCACAAGCTGCATGTGGACCTCCTTCAGCATTTGGTTATTTTGATCTTGCATCCTTCTCAACACATCTGTGATCTCTTTTTGTACACCTTTGATCTCTTTTTGTACACCTTTGATCTCTTGTTGTACACCTTTGATCTCTTGTTGTACATCTCCGATCTCTTCAATTTTCCTCTCTCGTTGTTCTCCCTCGATTTCTGATTGCACCCCCTCGATCCCTTCGTCCTGCTTTGTCAGAATCTCGAGATCAAGAATGTTGGAGCTCCCCTGCATGACGGCATTTGTGAATTGTTTTCTTGATTTTTTGCCATTCTTATCTGCAGCGTCAATGGCTATGTCATAGACACTCAACATGTGTGGAGCTCCCTCTTGAACAGAAGCGTTCTTCTCATCTCCGCCATCATTTCCTCCCCGTATCCCAAGACAAGAGCGCTGACAAACAGCACTCTGCTCGCGATGGAACCGAGTCCACTGAAGGCAACACAATCCCTGCAGTAACAACACAAGTTCAAAAAGCTTTTATCTAGCACTGAGGATTATGCCTACCTCTGAGCTCGAAATGATAATTGAGCTCAACCAAAGGAATCCAAGAGGCGACACGAGCGACATGGCACCCAAGACGCACTTTCCCCCCTGCTGGCAAAGAGCAAACTTAGGCTTGACAAGAAGGCTTGTTTGACGTGGAGGTTGCCTGTATTCCCATCTGCCTCTGCCTCTGCCTCTGCCTCTGCCTCTGCCTCTGCCTCTGCCTCTGCCTCTGCCTCTGCCTCTGCCTCTGCCTCTGCCTCTGCCTCTGCCTCTGCCTCTGCCTCTGCCTCTGCCTCTGCCTCTGCCTCTGCCTCTGCCTCCGCCTCCGCCTCCGCCTCCGCCTCCGCCTCCGCCTCCGCCTCTGCCTCTGCCTCTGCCTCTGCCTCTGCCTCTGTCTCTGCCTCTGCCTCTGCCTCTGCCTCTGGCTCTGGCTCTGTCTCTGTCTCTGTCTCTGTCTCTGTCTCTGTCTCTGTCTCTGTCTCTGTCTCTGCCTCTGTCTCTGTCTCTGTCTCTGTCTCTGTCTCTGTCTCTGCCTCTGCCTCTGCCTCTGCCTCTGCCTCTGCCTCTGTCTCTGTCTCTGTCTCTGTCTCTGTCTCTGTCTCTGTCTCCGTCTCTCAGTTTTTCTCTCACTCGCTCGCTCGCTCTCCCTCCTTCCCTCTCGCATCCACCCATTTACACATTCACCATCGCTCGCTCGCAATTTTTTTTTATCCCAAGATGTAGGGCGCCTCCAAAAAAAGCTTAGGATTCTCTTTTTTGGTAAAATTTGAAAAAAGTGCCCTGCGAGATCCAGTCCTTGAATTCCGTCACGTCGACCGTGACCGGGGATCGGATTGCTTGTATCCACCCGGCCACCTTGCATGGACCACCCTGCCTCTAGGTTGTTGTTCTATGGTAGGACCCCTCTTCTGTCTATAAAGAAGGGGGTCACTTAAGGCTGTCTTCATTCGGACGTGTTTTTGGGAAAAATATGAAAGTTTTCCCCAAAATTTCTCCCAACCCCCACTTTATTCGAGTGGAAAAAGAAAGTTTTCTTTTTCCAGGCCCGGATTTCGGGAGAAATTTAGCTTTCTTTCTCCCGCTCTGGATTTCTTGAAAAAGAAAATTCCCGCCCAAGCCATGCCGCCGGCATCGAACAATGGCGGCGGCATTGTTCATGTTGATGACCCCATGTTCATGTTTCTGGTATCTTGTCCTGTTGAATTGATGAGACTTTACCTTTCCGCTCATCAAGCTCGAGCACTGCATGACTCTGAACCTCTTCCACGAGCTCGAAAGAAGCGAAAGGTGGAGGAGCAGCCTCGGCTCGCAAGGAATTATGCAGAATCCAGGTGGGCTGTGCTCCTGCAAGATCCTTCACTTGCTGATCCATCGTCACGTGCTGCCAAAGAATTCAGACGTACTGAGCTTTCGTTTGCCATATCCTGTTTTTCTTGACATTGTCAAACTGGCTCGTGAAGAGAAATGAGTATCATGATCAGACCACCACCGTGTGTGGGCAGCCCATGCCGCCCCTTGAACTCATGATTCTTGGTGTTCTGCGTGTGTTAGGAGGAGGGTACAGTTTCAACAATGAATGATCCGTGAAGGGAATGGGGCATGTGAGGCATCCAATCGTAACTTTTTCCACAAGTTCTGTCGAAACATGGCAAAGCAGTATCCCAAGTATGTATAACCCCCGACCACGCCAGATGAAATCTTCAAAAACCAGGGAAATGTACCGCAAGAAAAGTTTTCCAGGGTGTATCGCGTCATATGACTGTGTACATATTCCCATGACAAGACAATTGCACGCTACGATTCATTCTTGCAATCCGTGCATCAGGGAGGTCGTTATGCGCAAGAAGAGTTTGTCTTGTATGTTGGTGAAGGTCGTGTACAAACTCACAAAGGATTGTGGATCATGGTCGATCAAGGCTATCACCGTTGGAGGGTGTTAAAATGTCCTTTACCTTACATAGTCGATATTGATAGACGACAGTGGACTCGAGCATTGGAATCATGTCGGAAGGATGTGGAGTGCTTTTTTGGAAGATTGAAGATGCGTTTCAGGTGTGTGAAGATACCGTGCAACTTTTGGTACAAGGATGAAGTGGACAACATGTTCGTGACATGTCGTATTCTTCAAAACATCATACTTGCGCATGATGCACAGACGTCGGATGGTGCAGAAGCCGCCGATGTTCAGGTTGAAGTTGAAAACAGAGAGGATGCAGAAGCCGCCGATGTTCAGGTTGAAGTTGAAAACAGAGAGGATGAGGAATATGATGGTATTGCAATTCACATGATTGCAATTCACAAGGAATTCGGGATTGTATCGGTTGTTTATCAAATCTTTAGTATCATTGTAAAACTCCATGATACTGGATCCTGGCCATGGCTGATTTTTTGATTTGTACAACAACAACTCCTCTGTCAAACCTGGTATTTCACTGCCATGCTGCTGGAGGAAATCACGAACATGCTTAGGATATGCTTCTTCAAGTAAGACATGCAACTCTGTAATTTTCCGTAGTCCTCCATCTGACACATCAAGGAACGTAAGACATGCAATAAGCCTCCCGTAAGGCTTGGCTAGTGAGGGTTTCATGCTGCCTGGTCCCGCTGGTGCCTGCATGGAGCCACTTCCCTGGTGCGCGGGAACCTTTTAATTTTCGAAAATTTGAAATGCTCGAATAAAGTGCAACTTCGACAACCTCAGATTTTTTGAAACCGGGGGAAAAGAAAACTTAATTTTTCCTTTTTCCCGGCCTCCGAATAAAGATAGCCTAAGCAAAAACCCTAAACCCTAAAACCATATAAACCCTAATGTGCTGTATGAGGGCTTGTGGATAGCTGGCTGGAATAAAATGCTAGGAAGCTTCAAGACCCGAGTCATGCTCAGACAAGAAGAACACTCGAAGAAATGAAGTAGATTCATATGAAGGCCACGTGATTCATGCTCTCTTCGTCAAGTTGGACAATTGACTGACTGTAGATGTTGGGCTTTTCCTCAGCTGCCTTTATATCACGCCCCAAGGCTATTCGTGAAGACCCAGATAGTCAGCACAAGCATGTTCGAAAAAAAGAATCTTCCAGGAGATTTCTCGTCCAGAGACAAGGATACCTCAGAAACAGTAAAAGGATTATGGAGTTGGGAGCAAAGAGTATTGCAATCTTTGATCTCGCACTCAATCTGCGCTCAGAGATTGATGTGTCAACCATAATGACCGTCAAGGTTGGTCCAGATGAGTTTTCTTTTACCTTACAACTGCAAAAATCAGCTGAAGCTTACTCTTGCCTCCAACGAGCGGAACTTCTCAGTGTCTTGCTTCCGATTGTGCAGGGAGATGTTGGAGGTCAGATCTTTTCACTGCTCAAGTGGAGCAAGCAGATGTTATGGGCAGGAAGTCTTGATGAGAGCTACAGAAAATTTGCTAAGTACCGTATCTGGTCAGGTAAAATCACGGTAATTGAAGAGGACAATGCAATAGCATCTACTGAGATATCCATTCACGAGATTTCGAAGGTCCAGCCTCTTGCAGATGACAACTGTGGATTGGTGCTGATGATGAAGAACAAGAGGATCATTCGCTTTACATGTCTCTGTAACGAAGAGGCGCCCTATCGGCAATTCTCCAACAGAGATAGAATGGTTCGTGCCATCACTGATTCTGCTTTGGCACAGCTTGGAATTACCTTACCCGTAGAAAACATCCAGTCTCAGGACGCGTTTGTATTGTTTCGACTGTGGAATGCAAGCTCTATTGACAACGTCATTTCATCGTTTGCTATTCAAAGATTGTCCAAGAAATCCAAGAAGCGAATCGTCAGTTTGAGTTCGAATGGAATGTACGAACGAGATGTTGAAAACACCTCTCTTGTTCATCACACCATTGCTTGGTCACACATCCTGCATTTTGTTCGCTATCCATTTCAAGGCGATGAACCAACTAGCCAGCCAGCCAAATCGAAGTTACCTACTTTCGCGATATGCACACAAGATGGAAAATTACATAGATATGAACTCGCTCATCGTGATGAGATACTTACTTGTATGATGGAAATTGCCTGCAGACAGGGTATTTGGCTTTCAGTAGCTCCGGAAGCTCTTTCTGTTGACTGGAGGATGGGAGGATCCGGATTAGATGGGGACAAAGAATATGAAGATTCTTTCTTCGAGAGATTGTCGTCGTTGACGGTCAAGGAAGATAACGTTTTGCAGTGGGTTGACATGGCGAACGAGTGCAATTGTAATTTTTCTGGATCTTCATTGGGCAGAGTGCTGTCGAGAAAAATTCTCCAAAATTTTTTAAATATTTCCGTCCGACAAGAAAAGCATAATGCGAACATCACGGTGCCACTTCTCATGGCATTCTTAAAGTTGTTGAGTTCGAGAAGTGCTTTTGAAGAGATTCCACTCCTACGAAAAGACGTGTCAAACATCTGGACTCAATTTCTGTCTCTGATCTTGAGCGACAATGATTTGGTGTCTCTTGCTGTCACTGGCGCCATTCGATCAATGATCCGCTTCTCGAATCGTGGAATATCCGACAAAATGCGAAATGGCATCGAGAAATATGAGACAGCCAACTCATCCTCAATCGTAGACAACGAATTGGTTTCCATCATTTTAGAGAAGATCGCAAATGTGTCCAACCGATGCAATCCTAAGAGCCCCATTGCAATCTTCGGAATCATGGAAATCATTGATAAAATTTTCACATGCCGTACTAGCATGATGGACTCAGAGCTTGCTGAACGAATGTCACGGAGTCTCTCCAATGCAATTGATGACCTCTGTGGGCTCTGCCGCATGCCCAACCGTGTTGTGTGCAAGCGTTCAACACAGCTGCTTATCACAATACTCCAAGATGCCGATGAGAAGAAAAGGATTGAATTACAAAATGCGTTGCGAAGTAGGTGCATACTCCTTCCGCACATCCGCTACGTCATCAGCTCAGCTTCGTTACACTTGTCTACTGCTGTTGATTCCAGTGTTGAGGTGCAGTCGTCTTTTCACTTTGCTCTCCATCAGGAAAAGGATACAAGAGCACTCTTTTCCGGCCACATGGATTCCGATCAGGCCGACTTATCTGCGAACTTGATCGAGCTGCTCGTCGAAGGGAATCCATGCAGCATGGATCTCCTCTCTCGCATCCTCCCTGCCTCCTTATTCTCTTCCCTCCGCGTCCCATGGCAAGAGTCTGCGACAGCCACCCTGCAACAAAGGGGAAGATCTGCCAGGGTGCGATCGGCAGTGAACAATTGGCCCCTCTTATTTCAGAGGCTTCGATCGGATCTTTCCGATGCATCTCTCATTTGGAATGAGAGCACGCGTAATGAACTGCGTGAGGCTTTGCAGGAGGAGGAAGAGGCGCTGATAGCGTCAATAGAGGTCTACGGGGCCTCAAATGTGACTTGGAATGACGAGGATTTCTTCGTACACTACAGGAGCCTCGAGCAGGAAGTGCGAGTGGGAGCATATTACCTCCGATTTGTTCTCTTTGATGATTTCGACGTGGAGGTACTGGGATCAGGAGCAAGTCGCTTTCTCGGGCAGTTGTACCATTCCTTCCTCACAGAGCAGAACCCAGCGGTCAAGGTGGACTGTCTGCTGGCAATGTCGAAGGTGTACAAGCGATGGAGCAATCAGCCGTTTGACTCCCTCACCCTCTCGTCCCTTGTTCGTATCCTTGCAGACACTGACTGCAGCAAGAATGTCAGGAACGCCCTGATCGATTTTCTCCAGACGGTAAGTGAAAGAGATTCTTCTGATATCAACTTACATGGTTTGCAGGCCATATGTAACCCGGTCAATGCACGAAACCTGCTTTCATTCCCTCTCTTCATACCCTCTATCCTCCAGATTCTTTCCAGCAGCATGTCAAGTGATTATGTACAGATGGACTGGATCAGTATGGACAAGATTGGAATGACCATTAAGTGCGCTAACCTGCTACATGTTCTTGTCTCTCGAACTTCATCAAAAGCAACCAACAAGATTGTTCGCCCTCTCCCGCTTGCTCAAAGAGTGCTTTCCAAGGATGAACGAGTACGTCAAGTCGTCTGGTTGCTCCTCCTTCCTAATGAAACCTTTCTCTGTCGTATGCTCGAAATCGTTGAAATTCTCTTGCAGCAGAGCGGATGTTGTTCATTCCTTCCAGCAACGAAATCTCTCCTTTTGTATCTACTGATCAATTGTGTTGATTTTTCTCGGTCAATTCAATCCGGAAGCGAGCAAGGAGAGGCTGTCAAAGATAGCTTGCTGGAGAAGGCTGGTAAAATGATCGGACAGATGTGGGAAGGAAGCGAGAACAACAACAGCTGTACATGCAAGATCGAGGTGCAAGAGACCATGCTGGATTTGATCCCGATTTCACTCTTCTTGCTTCTCAAGAAGGAAGGCGCAACTTCCTTCGTACGTACCCTGTCCTCCGAACGAAAAGATGTGTCAATCCTTTGGACCAGGAGCATGAGAGAAAGAATGTCACAGGCCTTGAAGTTGCACCTTTGCAGAACTTTACGAGAAGAGCAGGAAGGAAAGATAGGCTTCGAAAGAATGCCGAAGATTGTCTACAACGAGCATATCGAATCAGATTGGCTTGGATGCGAAGACTTTGGCTACTACTTGTCCCATCTTGAAAGCTCCTCTTCCATGGTCTCTCCCACCGACATCGTTCAATTCCGCCAACTTATTCTGCAACGACTCGCGGATGCCTCAACCGGCTTATCGACCCAGGCGATTCTGCTGTCACTACTTGCGAATATCATGGAGGAGAATCACGTGCTACAGTTCGAAGAGGACGCGCATGCTGTCAAACAGTCCGAAGAGACTGAAGAAGCAGGCAAGGAGGATTCGTCGCGATTCGCCGAGTTCAAAATCCTCGCAGGACTGCTCAAAGAAGATGCCATGTATCAAGAGGAAGCAGGAAGGGGAGGAGGAGGAGGCAATCGGAGTCCAAGCAGGGAGAGGATGATGGTGCAGATGAATGTGATGCGCGTGTGCAGATGGATGGTGAAGGCTTCTCCCGATAGCAGTTCGACCGTCAGTTCGACCGTCTCTCTGTGTATCCAGCTGGGCATCGCAGACTTTGTGGATTCGGTGCTTAAGCAGTGCATCTCGTGCATGTTTGTGAGCAGAAAGCCAGGAGAGGAAACTAACGTACTTGGGGGCTCGACTGCGGGAGATTCAGTTGATAGTCAATCTGAATCAGATTGTATCCTACAGCTCACGTTGGCTGCCATTCGCTTCGCCTCTGACTTTGCACGATATCCTGAGGGTCTCAACAGGTGGGAGCGCGAACAGGGCATTGTGCATGTGCTGCTGCTTTGCTTGCAGAGTGACCATAGCGACATCATACAAGCGGCGATCGAATGCATGGGTCATGTCTGCTCCTCCCAGCTGCTGCATGCTGCTCTCATTCGCGGGCACTTTCACCTTCTGCTCTTGCGACAGTTATTGCGAGATGTCTTTGCCATGACGGATGGAGCAGATCGGGTGACTGTGTCGATAGTGAGCATACGCACTCGCTGCCTGTCCACCTGTCAGGCCCTCTACTCCTTCGCCTTTGGCAAGCACAACACGCAAGAGATCCAGGAGGAGCTTGTCTGCCTCCTCACTGCCCCCATGCTCGAGCGCCTTGACAGCGCCGCAGAGTTTCTCGGGATCTTTGCGGCGGAGCATCGGACGCCCGACTTGGTGTGGGGGAGCTGCAACCGGCGAGAGCTGCGCAGCCTCGTCAAGAAGACGTTCAAGCATCTCAACGTAACGTCTCCTCAAATCAACGAGCAGCCTCCCAGCTGGCCTTCCTTGACTGGCTCGCCCAGCGTCAGCGAAGAATCAGCGAGCATGTCCAACGACATTGCAAAATTTTCTTATTCAAACATCTGCAACCTCACGCGTGTTGGAGGGATTTACATTGAGATATTCAATGATCAGGTCGGGATATTCTTTGGTTTGCTTCTTCTCTTCTGCTAACTTTGCCCCGAATCTTCTCAGCCAAACTGGCCTCTGGAAGATCCTGCCACCCTGCTAGGGAAACTTTTTGATGCTATGGCGCATGGGGTGAGCTGCATGACTGGTGTAAACGAGAGCTGAATGGGGTGTTAGGTGGAGGGAAATGAAATGACAGACAATCAGAAAGTGGAAGCTATGAAGGCGGCTTTGAACATTGCAAAAAGACTTCCCTCTTCCTCCGTGTTGAGGTCTTTCATTCTGACACTGCCTTCGTCGGTCTCTCTTCTCTGCCATTGACTTTGTTTTTCAGCTCCCCAACTCGCATCGTCCTCCTCGCCGACCTCCTTCCAGCTCAGGAAGATTTCTGGGAACAAGAGGTACTGTCAGGCGATCAAGGGAGTGAAGGAACCAGCGCAAACTCCAAACAAGGGAAGTGGAAACTATATGTCCTCGTCTTTGAACTTCTCGCCGTTGGATCGCAAGACTCCCGAGCCGCAAAAATCCTTTGTGAACAGGTGATGCTGAGACGATGGTGTCCTAGAAGCTCAGATGTGTTGTTGTCGTATGATGATGTGGAGGGGGTGGAAGGGGGGATCAGAAATACCAAAGTAAGGTGATATGATTGGGGGAGGAGGAAACAGGAGAATTCAAGGGAACTGGTGAGGGGCAGGAGGAACATGTTGATGCTCCTTGACTCTCGAGACTCAAGGCAATTTTCAGGGGGTGGCTCAGAGGCTGCTGGGATTCCTCAACGCGTCACTTGGAATCTTTTCTCCGTCGCTCTGTCTCGATGAATCGCGTAAGATGATTGCAAGACTTGTGTTGAAAGCTTGACGATACCAACAAGATCAAGCCGAAGCTTTTGACTCATCTGCTTCATGTCGAGAGTTGAAGGATTGCTTGGAGAGTGTTGTGGTTTCAACCCTTCGATGTCTTAGGCAAGTTTCAAGATTCCTTCCCTCACAGTTTCGACGTCTCTGTCAAGAATCTTACCTGACGGTCCTCCTGCTTCTCCTCTTCAAAGATTCGATTCCCATGTCTCTGCGAGCTGAGGCAGCTTCGTCCATCTCTGAATTCTGCACGTCGGAAAATGCTGAGAGGATGAAAGAGTATTTAAAGATGGTTTGTCCTCGCCATCTTGTCAGTGAGCTAGCTCGACCGCGAAAAGAAGACAATCAGATCCTTCATGTCGTGTTGGCAGTTGATCAAGATGTCAAGACAGAGGAGAGCGAGTGGAATCGTGATGATTGTCAGGAAGTTTTGACGTTTCTGTGTGAGTCTCGACAAAATTTCTCCTGGGAAATTTCGCGGTTAAGCTATCTGGAAAAGCAAGAAAGCAGAAGAGTCGGGGACTACTTGATTGACAACCTCAACATTCTCTTGAAGGTAGATCAACCGCACTTGCTCTCTTGGCTCGCGCTCTATCTCTGTCTCTTCCCGCTCTCTTCCCTCTTAGCTTTGCCCCTCTTAGCTCCCTTCTCCTCTTCTGTATAAGTGTCTCATCACAGCTTTCCAGGAAGGGAAAGATCAATCGCAGCTGATCAAAGATCCTGCCTCCTTCTTCAGGATCTGCTCGGTGATATGCCGCAGAGCGTTGAAACTTTGATGACGAGATGGCGGGCAGGAGGAGGTGAAGCACAACACAGACACCAACGAGGCGATCGCTGAGTGGCCAGATGGCTGCGAGCGACTCAAACAAGTCCTTGAGTCGCTGGGTTGGCTTGCAAGAGGAGGACTCGTGCCTCGATCAGTTTGGGACGAGAAGGTATAGAACTGAATCCTCTCCCTTTTGCTCTTTGTCCTTCCCTCATCATCACCTGCTCTCCCTCGGCTCCAGTGTTCTCTGACTTCTCCTCCAGGCCATCTGTCTGGTGCCGTCGCTCATGAAAGTTCTTTCCGCCATGTCCAGATCCTCCCACCCGATTCGCCCGAGTCAGCTACGGCAGATCATGCGAGTCCTCCTTCCTGCTGTATCTTGTGAGGGAGTTTCAGAGTTCTTTCGCATCCCCGACAATGTTCGGTCGCTGATTTGGATGGTGATGGAGGTGAAAGGGAGGAGGCTGAGGAGGTGCTGGCTGTCCTCTTATGCATGGCAGGGGTCGAGGCATGAGGATGCGGCGGGCGAAGAGGTGCTGGCAGCATCTGTTCACATCCTTGCAGCGATGATGCGCGAGAATTCGTCGATAGTGGAGGTTAGTGAGTGGAAGTTGCCAGGGACTGACGGCGTGTGCAGCTCGTGCTTCAAGACGGCATCATGCTTTCCCAGCTGAAGGTCAACTAATGCCAGTCATGTCGGAGCTCACTTGACCGCAGGCGATGGCCGAGCGGCGTGAGCCCAACGTCCTGCACCTCATGGGCGAGATGCTGGCGCACCCGAGCATGGGGGAGGCGAGTAGCCTCGTCTTCTCCTCGGCGCTGACCCTCCGTCATCATAGTCTGTGCGGCTTGCAATCCCTGAACGAACTTTCTGGGACCGCGTGGAGGAGGCTTCGCCACTGGTTGCTCCTGCTGCCCCCGTGCACTTTTGACGTTTTCTGCAGGTTGGTTGGGATAGCCCGGCTTTCAAGCGGCTACACTCTGAAGTGCTGCCGTCAATCGTATGGCGAGCTGTACCTGAGGAGGAGGAGGAGGAGGAGGAGGAGGAGGCAGGGGGGAGGGAAGGAAAGCAGAGATGAGATGATGATCATGGATATGTAGGAGGAGGAAAAAGAGGATCTTTGTTATTGTTTTGTACTTTACTTTTCGATGTTAGTCCACGATTTTTTTTGTTGTGCCATGAATGATCGTCAGATCTCACGTGGGACCCTTAAACGTGACCCCTCCTTTCTTGTTGACTGGGGTCCTCTCCTGATTGGTCAACACGGCTGCTCAACACTTCATTCTTCCTCGATTTCTCCTAGGCGGTTTTACACGTTCTTTTTCATTCCACTCGCATCGTATGCACGTTGAGTCACGCGTATCCTCAAGGATACTTGTGACGCTAAATGAAAGTTTCCATGTGTCACCATTATCTGCACCATTATGTGGGAAGTGAATCAGGGAGGGGAGGGGGGGAGACAGAGACAGAGACGGAGAGATGGAGAGATGGAGAGACTTGGGTAAGAGAGAGATCTAAGAGACAAACCCACGAGGAAAGAGACAACCAAGGTGGGACAGGTGGGACAGAAGATGGCAGAAAGGGAGTGATTGTGCGCGTCGAATTTGGAGTCAAATAACTTGATTCTTTCAAGTGTCCAGCTGACTTGGATGAGCGTTTCTCACTCTTGTCATCCCCCCATCTGTGAGTGTTTTGAATTACATACAATATGGATCTGATTGCTTGGAAGATCATTGGAATGCCCACTCAAAGAGTCGTTGAGTTTGTATCTGACAACGAACTTTCGATCATCGTTTTCCTTGTGAGGTACGCTTGCTCGCGCATTGCGCTTAATGCAATGCAGGTTCTCGGATGGATCTTGTGCTTTACGGGTATCGTTGACGTAGAGGCAGCGAAGCTTTCCATCGGCCATCATCGAGGGCAGGAAAGAATTCTCTCGCAGAAGGGTGAGCGGTACACGAGTGCGAGTGTTGTTTACAGTTTGCTTGGCCTTTGTCTTGCTGGATTTTGTGCATTCACTTTCTACAACAAAATCTTGCGAAGAAGCAAATCGTTGTCGTTGATCAAGGTAAAAAAGTACAGCCTGGATCTCCCGTAGTCTGTACTCATCACGTGAACCAAGAAAAGCTTGAGTGTATCGTCTTACAAGATGTAATATCCTGTTCAGCATATGTAAGGTTTGATTCTCAGCAGCGCATGATTCAACAACTGAGCACGACAATCGTGATTCATGCGAGGATAATTCAACCATCCAGTTAAATTAAATTTCTCAGACATCTAAATCTGATCAACCAAGAAAATCCTACGAGAGTGACATAAATGCCCATAACTGCTATCTACAAACACAACGTTGCAACGCCTTGCTCAGATGTAAGATTCAACGGGAGCTTTCGTCATCTGTGTTCCATAGCTAGGAGCCTGAAATTAAAAAAAGAAAATCAGGATATAATATGTCCATACGATTGCAACTCGCCTCTCTGATTGGCGCAAAAGACTTAAAGTTTGTGATTCGATCCAAGCCGTCATGGCTCAACAACAGAACGAATCCAAACACCTAAGCAACTCTCTCACAACACCATCACAAGTGCATGAGCAACATGTCTCGTACCACTTTGGACATGATGTCAAGAACAGCATAGATCATGATCTCAAAGTTTGGAGACCAGTCTCCAGTGCCCTCTGAGAAAATGAATACCAACGGATACCTGCGATATTGTCAAATGCAAGAACAGATCCTTGTGTATCTATTACAATCCCCAAGTGATCGCTGCAATCCAAGCCACTTTGCTGTACATCTCAACCACAGAAGGATTACTTCTGTCGACCAAAGCTCGATATCCCCTGAGCATGGTCTGTGATGCAAGTTAATTTGCACACATGCAAACATCAATGAGTGGTCACTTACGTAGACCAGAGGAGCGAAAATCAACAGCGACAGAGAGAACCAAAGCCATTTGATGTGCCCAGAAGAAATAGAAGCCATGAATCCACCGAAGATCATAAGCATATCCGCTGCGATAATCTGTTTCCTTCATCAGGAATATGTACGCCCAAGAATGACACGTTCACTCACAGCAATGTTCAAACCAGTATCTGCACCGACGATCAAACCCAAATTCAGAAAGATCAAAGATGTCGTGAAGAACCAATCGACGTATCTGTCACAAACAAACATTCAGAGCATGTGTGCATGTGTTCACACTCCACTGACCTGACGTAGAACAACTGACGACAGTTTGGAGTGATCAACCATCCTTGTCCGCTCAACATAGCATAATATGCAAATGTTGAAATGGCTGTTACATAGCACATGATGAAGTAGAACTATGTTGAGAAACTCATGAGTAAGGCAGATCCGAGAGCATCGCAAGTTCACCTTGCGTTTTTCATGGGCTGCTTTGAAGGCCATCAAAACAAATGCCACCGTTGTTACGCCCATGATGAGGAAAGAAACTTGGGGCATATCAGTAATGAGTGTGTCAGATGCATCTCATCCTCACCAGCTAGAAAGAATTCCCCCGTCTGTGTAACGAGCTGCAGGTCGACAACCTTGCACACTTCCACGGCAGAACTCACATCCATCCACAGGAGGCTCAAGAATAGAAGAGCTGTCAAGCGCATGGGCGGCATGCTCTTTGCCATGATTGCCTCTTGCGTCGCTCGGACGCTAGTCTGCACTGCGTGAGCAAAGATGAGTTGGAAGAGCTCAAACCCTTTTTGCAGAAAAGAGAAACCAACATAACTCTGTGCACTTTCCTACTCTTTCTCCTCGGCATTCTATCAAGAAATCGCACACATCCACTGCCAAAAAGTGGCAGACGAGGAGTGAAACAGTTACATCAAAGCAGATCCAACAATCTTTTCATGTTCTTGAGGCAATTGACAAGAAAGTCAATCGTAATGTTATTTACTGCATACAGCACTACTGGTCCACAAGTAAACTACTCTATGTTCCTTCTGAAGCAACACCATTCCATGTTGCAATGCAACATGTCACAACTAAACCGCCTTTTACCATTGCTATACTTACATTCCCTTCCTCTTTTCCCACTATCCCATCCTGCTTTCCCATCCTCTAGAACCTTCAAGCTTGCAGATCACACTGATAACTTGCAATTCCTTGCTCCTAGGCAACGCGACCCAATGTGTTGGCTGTCTCCTCATTCTCCTATGCATCCTCAAACTTCTCCATTATCTCCTCCCCCTTTTTTCCATCTCTCTCCTGTCCTTGCCATGAAATCCCTTTCATCCCCTCCTCTCCTGTACACTACCCTCTACATGAACGAGGCGGCACTTGTCTCTTCGCAATTTCGGCCAAACCCTCAAAAAAAACTTTCGTTCTGAAATGAAAAATTTGAAACTTTGACCGCGAATATTTCAATTTTTAATATCAAAATATCCAAAATTAAAGTCATTTGAAGCGTGTACGTGAAAAGTTTGAGCGTAGACTTTCAAGCTTTCCGTTATCTTTATGTAACTGTTTTATTCTGAAGCACCCACCCCTCGATTCGAGACAAGAAAGGAGAAACTCTACGGGTTGATAATCCACAAGGCATGTGAGGGAGTGAGGGTCATAGGGTGGTCATTGGACGGGTGGGGCTATTACGAATCGATTTCAATGCATTGATATGGGGGTACTTTCAGTGTTTGGGTGGGGTGAACAAAGATGTAAGCAGATTCTGTGGGGTGGTGAAGAAAATGGTGGGGTGGGTGGGGTGGAGCGGTGGAGGCGGAAAGGAATGCAGCAAGCAATAGAGGAAAACCGGGGGAAGGGAGGGGGGGGAGGAGGAGAGAACACGCACAGGAGTAGACAGATGTTGGTAAGAGCACATGAAATCAATGTGGTACTTGTTTTTGAGGGAAAGAGATGATTGGAGCAGGGAGGGGTCAAGATAGGAGCGGGGAAAGAGTGCGAGGATGGAAGCAATGAGGGGGGATTCGGATATGAGTCGCACCTATCAGCCTTGTGGAAGGGATGGAAGATAACAAGATAAAATGACAGAGAGTAAGAGCAACAGAAGAACAAAGTGAGATTCCAGAAGGGTGGGAATTGAGAGATCAGAAGAGTTGCATGATGATGATGGATAAGATTAGCATGAAGCCTTTCACCATAGTGCTTGGGTTAATTCGCAATTAAATTGCTTGTGTGAAATTGTTGTCTCACGTCGTTGCTTGTTCGTTTATGGTTTCCTGGTTTCTGTCTAACAGCCATGCATAGGCTTGCGGTTGGCCATGTCAAGGCAGTTTGGCAGCCTCGTGAGGGGACGGTCGCTTGTCGGTGCCTTGAGCAATCTTGTCTTGACAGCTCATGTGAGGCTGGCAGAATCATGATGTGAAACACTTACCATGTTCCCAGGCCCCCATCAGCAGCGTTGGGTTTTGTCGCGGTATGGCGTCAAAAAAAAAGGAGAAAGGTTCGATTGTTGACACGATGAAATGAAAGATGGTGATCCGCTTCAACTCCAGGAAAAAAGAAAGAGAAGAAAGTTCTTTACAATCCGACCTTGCCCTCCGTGCCGGTGCTAGATGCTCTTTCGTCACATAGATGGTGCTGATGCTTGTTTGAAAGGAACGACGACAGCAAATGACTATGTACAAATGGGTACCCTTATCTGCATTTTGACATTGGAGGAAAGTCTGAATTTGCATTCAACAGCAAGTGCACGACCTTCGCGTGCAGTATCGCAACGAAATTACAGAAAAGCTTGAAGCAAAGAGAGCTGCAGAAGCAGCGAAAGAGGAACAGCGTCAAAAGGAATTGGAAGCAAAGAACGCTGAGATCCTGAGGACAAGACAGTGAGTTGTCTGTTACCAGATATGCTGGGTGCCTGACCTGTCTGTGCCTCCAGGGAGAAGGCTAAGCGTGCTTACGAAGCCTTGCTTTTGGCGAGAGCAGAGAGGGCAAAGGCTGCGATAGAGGCTCGTGAAAGGTTTGAAGCTCGAGGACAGCGACTGGTAATGCTCGAGCTGTTCATCCAGACCTCTCCTTTCCTAACCCGTTGTCTGCAGATTGAACGCGCCCGAAGCAAACTTGCCCATAGCTCTCTAGAAGCGATGTAATAATTGCCCGGCTCTTGTTCTTGCTCTCACTCAATGTACAGGAGTTGGGCGATTTCTGCCGATGATGCAGAAAATATGATCCAGGCAAGCGAACGAAAGGCTACTCGCTGGTCAGTTGACTATGTTGACAGGAGGCAATCATGAATCCCTCGACTCCTAGTTTCGACAACAGGGTCAGAAGATGAGAACAGAGAAACAAGATGTTTGCTGAGGATTTGCCCTTGTCCGGAGGATGACAGTAAATGCAGAGCATTGATCCTTGATCTTCCTTTGTCCATCATTACGATTCCTCTTTCTCTTCTGTGGGTGGGCATGTTGGGAATGATTTGTTTCAGCTGTCTTTTTCTTTATGGGGGAAAGTCCAACATACACAACAAAACATTCAACGAATCTGACCTGAATTCACACCTTCTAAGAATCTCATTATTTGCCTTGAATTTGCGTCAGATCACTACAAAGTCGTGTTCTGATTTCCTGGCTGCTTCATCAAGATTTTCAAAGTTTTGTTGAAACTCAGCAAGGAAACTGTCGAAAAGAAAACTTCTTCGTTTTTCCTTCAAACTGGATTCGCTTGATCTTTGCGGGCACGAAGCGACAGGCGGTCGCCTCGGCTTGCGAGTTCTTCGAGTCTTCTCCTCCTCCACTTGCTTGGCAGAAGTCTTCTCGCCCTCTCCCGCATGTGAAGAACGATGAGCTTCGAGACTCGCCTCTCCTTGTTCGCGTTTGGTTGGTGGAAGGTAGTCGGGAAGAATAGAGCTCTGATGACGAGACCACTTGAAGTCCCTCCGAGCATCTCCCTTGTCTTCAACCTTGACGTCGTCTGCATCAACATGTCAGACCAACACAACGAGATTTGTTCTCACCTGAGATGAACTTGAGGAGGCGATGCGACTCAGAACTCTTTCCGTGACTTTCATGAGCGTCATTAGGGACACGTTTCTCCTTCAGCTTCTCAACTAACGGACTAAGACCAACCTCGCGGTGGACAAGTGACAGTCTGAAACTTTTGACCTCTTTTGGTTTGACAGTAGATGACTCTGCTGCCATTGAGTTCACCTCGACAGCCTTGTCACAAGCTTGGAGATTCTTCTTGTTGAGCTTAAGTCTCAGAAGCCACTTCTTCAATCTCAATGAGAGGTGAATCCATCTTGAAGAAATCATCATCATCCTCGCTTCGTCCTCTTCTCGCTCGCTCTCATTCCCGTTGCTCTCCTTCTTCGCCTTTCGCTCCTGCGACTCTTTCACAAGGGAGTTTAGGGTTTAGGGTTTAGGGCAACGTCACCAGCATCTGGGCAGCCTGTGATTCTGGGATTGCAGGACGGGACCCCTGACCGAACACTCTTTCTCTCCGCGTCAATTTGACGCGTCACAACAGACGCTCGTCACCTTGCAAGGTGCCGGATGTGCCCGATGCCCATGCCCACGTTGCATCCTCCGACTCCCGTCCCCTCTCCCACCCCCTCCGTCCCCAAGTGCACCTGCCCCATCAGGCCCTTCCAGCTCGCGTCCGACTCGGAGGATCCAAGGCCAATGACCTCGCAGAACTCATCGAAGGAAATCTGAAAGCAGTCAGAGGAGAAGGAGAGGCAGCAGCTGCGACCTGCCCGCTTCCGTCCCTGTCAGCGACCTGCATGATGCGAATCGCCTCCTCCTCGCTGACTGCCGTCTCCATGAGAGCAAGTAGCTCCATCAGCTCCTCAAATTCGATGCTTCCAGAATGATCCCTGGCATGCGCGTCAGAGGAAAGAGACGTGGAGAGATCAGGGCACTTGTCAAACTGGTCGAACACTTGCTGTGCGTGCTTTCTCGGGTCCTGTTTGCCCTGTATAGCTTTGTGCTTCCTCTTCACCTTGCGGTCAAGACTGGTTTGCCTCTCGTGCTTGTCAAGGCAGTCACAGATGGTGAAGAAGGTGGAAGACTTGGGCAGGCAGGAGGGGAAGACTGCGTGTCCCTTCATGTGCCATGCAGGTTTCATGCAAGGACGGTCGCACTCCACCCTCCTCTCGCACTTGCCCCCGCAGACCGTGTGCTCCGCACAGTAGCAGTTCTCATGAATCTTCTTCCTCTCAGAGTTCGCAGTCATGATGCATCTATGTTGATCGTCAACTCTGCTCGCACTCAGCATGTTGTCACCGGAAGTCGCAACCTGCATGGCTGCACTTGTTTGCACATCGACCGATGTTCTTCTTCTCGTCGATATGCTCGCCCCCGCAAACATGCATCCCATCATGCCTGCGCATCCCCGGCAAGATCGCCATCCCGCACACCACTCTCGCGAACTTGGCGCCATTCTTCGCTGAGGCAAGAATCATTGGTTGTGTTCGGAGGGGACTGCGCAGTCGCGCAACCATGTTCACCTGCTTGTTGTCCGGTCCTGCACAGGTCGCACGCTTCATGACATGAGTGCGTCCCCGAGCACTGGTGCATCGCGTCATCCTGATTCTGCGAGCCAGTCAAGAGGATCGAGATGACGTGGCTGCTTGCCGAGTGGAAGTGATCGAAGTGCGAACATTTCTCGTCACAAGACGGCATGGAGCAGCGAGCTACGCAGCCCTTGGAGGACTGAAGGCAGCGATGGCGTGAAGAAGCCGTGTGGGACTTATCTTCTTCCAGCGTCTGACAGCATCGACCTGCAAAGACCCCATGAGATGAGAGTGGAGCAGCTGCCACCGTCTCTCACTGTCACATCCCACAGCACTGCAAGTCTCAGGACAGGCATGCTTGAGCTTGTGGCAGAGATGTCGCGTGTGATTCTTCGCGTGATGGTCCTTGACGTCGCACAGCTCCTTGCAACCTGGCATCTTCGATCGCCCTGTTAGAACGAACAGCATGCAGAGGCGAGGCAGGCGATACATCACAAGGCAGGAGGCATTGCGAGTATCCGCAATCATGACAACCATCCTCATCGTGTTCATCTCGCTGTGTCTTGCAGCTCTGGAGGCAGCCAGGAGCTGAGCATTTGTGTCGACAAGGATGATCGCCGGAGCAGTGATGAGTCTTGGAGAAGTTGCCGTGAAAGTGATTGCGATCACTGCAGATGCTGATGCATCCCGATACTGTACACTTACACCCACAGCCTTCCTTCTGGTCGCAGCTGTGCTGATCCCCGTGCCCATCATCTTTCGGCAGCACGCACCTCCTGGAGCAAGCGACAGCGCTGCAGCGGTTGTCGCACGCGTGGTACCTCCTGCTGAACTGTCAAAGCCGTTGGTCTCAACCTGTCAAAGCCGTTGGTCTCGGCCCCTCTGCTGACCTGCAGTGATGAGTGAAGCTTGCCGTCATCATGTCATGTTGACCATGATGTGATACTTCGCATCCGCACAGCTCGTCGCATCCCGGCACCTCACACGGGTGCGTACATCCCTGCAAGCAGTCAGCTCCTTTGCCTCCTAAGGCATAGCAGACTTGTCCAGCCGTCTTGATGAACATCATTCCTGGAGAGACAAACGATGAGAAACGTTGGCGAGGGAGGTCAGAGAAGAAAACCGAGGAGACGGAGCTTGCGGTCAATCTTGCTGCCTTCCTCCACATGCAAACCTTCACTTCGATCTTCACAAGAGCAGATGTGCGACTGTCTCGCGTCCCGAGCGCACATTCTGTCGCAGCCAACGGCCGAGCAGGTGCGGGAGCAAGGGTGAAACTCAGCGCCACAGTCGTGAAGACCCTCATGGAAGTGATCTCTGACACAGCAGCGATTCAAGCAGCCCTTGATAGCAGCACGTCAGCCCATGGCCTGCTCCCTCTTCCTCAGGTCAACCTTGACGTAACAGGGGTACGGGCAAGTCTTGGAAGCGCAGATACATCCAATGTAATCTAAATTGCTGTTGCGACTGTGAGGCGTGCGAGCACATTGGTTCTCACAGTGAGGCCGCTTGCACGTCCCTGTGCATCGCTGTAGAAACTGAAGATGAGTGGAAGGTACGAGGCTGGGCAGCCATTACCGTCCCTCCCTTCTCTCTTGACTGTCTGTCTTTGCAGTACGTTCCCGGATGCATTATACACACTTGCTTCTCGAAACGAGCGATGGCATTCTCCAGAGTGATTTCGTTCCCGATATGATCGAACTTGACGCCACATTCAAGGCAAGAACACAGCCACCTGATCACATGGAATCACTCAAAGGACGCAATGAGCTTCTAGCTATTGCGCCTGTCGCAGAAGAATGGAAAGAGTCGGACAAGCAGCCTACCCTTCATCTTCGTCGAACGACGGGCATCTGAAGGATTTTTATGTGGGAAAGACATGCATGACTTGACCTGAACACATGTGAAGTTCCAACCAGACATCTTCACTTTGGCTCTCAGCATGTTGATCATGCTCCATGGTTGGTAACAATGTGGTCTACAATGGCAGTGAGACTTGTCATCAGCTATCTTCACTTACCGTAGCTAGAACTTCTTTCTGAGCATCACTGTGAAACACGTCGGTGAGTTCAAAAGTGATCTTCGGTTGGACAATGTCGCTGGCATCCAGTTGGATATGAAAGGGCTTGTCTAATCCTTCCCACCTTGAACTCTCGTCAGCCCATGAGCAAGCAAGAGAAACTCTCTCACCTCGGGTTTAGCGGATCATAGGATCGTTTGGTTGTGAACTCAGAGTCCTTGTATCTCAATCTCGTGTAACAACTGACTCCTGTTGTGCGATTCCCTTGCAACGATGCTTGAAGCACCTGAACGCTCAGAGCGTCTAAGATCTAACGATGGGAATAAGTGAAGAGGCAGAGAAGAAGCAAAAACGCACTTTGCTTCTTTCCATCTTGGGGACTTGGATGGGAACATGAGGTCCCCGCTGACAGCCCCACCTGTATTCTCCTTCCAACACTTTCTGGTCCAGGGAGGAATCCTCATACCCTGACGAACGGCAGCAAGTCCAAATGGTACCTCCAAACCTTGCGAGCAATATGAGAAAAGCAACATGCATGAAGCAGAAAGACCTGCTTGTCTCTAGCGTCCCAGGGTGGAACAAGCACGCTTCGTCTTTATCTGCTGTGTATCCCTTGTGCTTGCCCGTTACAAGATTGAAATGTTGTCCACACTGCGCGCATCGAGGTTTCTTGATGTTATGACCAGTTGCTTGAGTGCATCCAATGTCATTCGCATTGATCTTTCGACAACATGACCACATTCCCTTGAAGACGTCTGCTTGCATCATGTGTAACACCGCTGGGTTGGCCCGCTCGAACTTGAACTTGCCCTCCATGACGCCGGAGAAGCATTCTCTTTGTTGGAACATAGCATCTGCAGAGGTCAACAGTCTTCGTTTCCTCGCCGCCATCTTTACAGCCGCGGCTGCTGCGATTGCATCTCGTGCAGGGTCTTCTAGCTCAACTGTGGAGGCTCTTCTTCTGAGTTCGACATGCTTCCCCACATTGAGGCTCAAGGTGCTTCTCCTCCCTGAGCTGTCTGGGGGTTGAGGGGCCTGCCATGCAGCCGCTACCGGCATCCCCGACATATGCTAGTCAACTCCTTTCAACTCCCCTTCCAAGGTTTGTTTATCAAAACCCGGTTTAGGTTCAATCGTTTAGTTAGATGTTCGACTCGATTCGATTCGATTCACTCAAAATTCGCCATCATGCCGCCCCGAGCAATCCCGGGCCTTGTGTGCATGGCCAACGTGCAGGAGGGTAGAGACGCGAAGAAGCTGCGAGCCATGGCAGAAGCCGCTTCCTCCATCCCTCGTGCCTGGCTGCTACGTGTCTTCTCGGATAGAACTTTCCACCGGAGCGGATTTTGCCTCGCTGGAGCTCCAGATGCAGTGGGAAATGCGGCGATCGCGCTGTCGAGACGAGCAGCCGAATATATCGATCTCACATCGTCTGAGCGGGCAGAAGACAAGTATGAAGATGTTGGCTCTCATGTTGGCGAGTATGTCTGACCTCTCCTTCTCGGCAAGGTCTGCGCATCACCACGTGGGGGCAGTGGACCTTCTGCCGTTCCATCCTATCGGGGCAGCAACCATGGAGGATGCTGCCGAGGTTGCTCGAAGAGTTTCAAAGACACTCGGAGAAGAGATGGGTCTCTCAGTCCTCACTTACGGGCACGCACACCCCACTCGGTTTCTGTACCTCCTTGTTTACAGAGCAGGACTGAAAAGCCTGGCAGGAGGTCTCTGGTGCAACTGAGGAAGCAGACGAGCTTCTTCAAGCGAGGTCCTCATGCCCTGCATGCGAGCAGCCATGCTGTCTCCTCAGGTTCCTCTTGTCGTCTGCTAAACGGCATGCACTGAGATTCCAAGAGAAGTGAAGCCTGACTTCGGGCCCGAGGTGCCGGATCAACGACGAGGCATAACTGTGAGATCTCTTGTCACGTTGAACTCACAGTCGCGCTTCTCAACATGGGCTCAAGGTCTGTGGAGCCACCGGATACGTGCTGAACTTCAACATCGCGCTAGAGACTACAGGTGAGCCATCGCGTACGCATGGTCGAGTGACGCTTTGTAGACCTGCAGGAGGCGATGCAGATAGCGAAGGCGATTCGAGGAAGCAACACAGGAGCGACGACTTGCAGTCTTGAGGAGATGTGACAGGAGCTGCAGGGGGCTTGCCCGGCGTGGAGTCGATGGCGTATGAGCACGCCGGTCCTGACGGTTCGAGGTCTTGTGAGAGACGAATGTAAAGGAGAGCTTGACGGGCAGGAAGGTTGGTAGAGGTAGCCTGTAACCTCAGAGAGCCTTCGTCGCAAGAGGGCGGACAAGCTTCTGTCCTCGAGAGAGTCACGGGTAAGGAGGAAGGGGCAAGAGCAAGGGGGGCTGAACCCTCTTGATGTCATGCAGATCTTGCTCGAGCAAAGGGGATCCGCATACTTCACAGCTACTGCACGAACCCCACGCCCGAAGAGCTGGAAAGCTGGTGGACTAGCGACAAGAGGTAGCAGCCTCACCTGTGGGTGTGTATGACGCAGCAGCAGCAGCTCACAGACGTGGGAGTGGAGAGTTCCGCCAGGAGAAGAAAACTTTGACAAGTCGTAGGGAAACAAAGGAGGTGTGATCAGATGGCAAAAAACTCAACATCTTCATTGCATGCATAGAGCGCTTGTGACGCATAATTTGAAACAAAAGACCACGAAGGAATCGGTGGACCGTCATTCTCCTCACGACTAGTAGTAGTATCCTCCTCCCGACCGCCGATCGCCTGCCGAGCCTGAGAGGAAGTTGAGTAGGACCATGGGGCACACCAGACTTACCTCCAGAGTTTCTGTCGCCAGAGTTTCTGTCGCCGATATTCATGTCAGACGAGATCTTCTTCTTGATCGCGTCAAGCTCAGAGCCGAGATTCTTGCGGTAGCCCTCAAGACCTGGCAAGCTTGAGAAAGTTTTCATGACAACTGAGAGTCTTACCAGCGCTGGTCCTCAGGTCAACCTCCAGGCGCTCAGTGACATCTTCCAAGTCACCTCCGAATCGCATCTTGATTTCCTCCATGTCTTCATAGAGCTGCTTCTTTTGCATCTCCAATTCCTTTCGCTCCGTCACCCTACAGTTTGCTCTCACAGTCCACACTCACCTGAATGCTCTGATGATGCACACTCGAGTCTGCCTTGTACGTCTCCACCTCGTGCTCAAGCTTGTCGCGATAAACCTCAAGAGCTTGCTGCTTCTTTCGCTCGGAGGCCAGCTGTCTCCCCACCTGCGTTCAAGTATCGTGGGTTAGCATGGAAGTCCAGCGCCTCCCTCTCTCTGTTCACCTGGTCGAGCTCAGTCACAAGCTTTTGCTTGTACTCTTCGACTCCCAGCCTCATCTTTTCTTCTGCCTCAATCTGTGAATGCATCTGGTCCCGCTCTTGCTCTTCACGGCGGATCTGTGCTTCACGGTCGGCCTTGAGTTGGTTGAAGTCGTCGGTGAGACGGTCCAGAGCTCTTCTCTCCGCTTCTGTCTTGTTGTTCAAGCCTTGCAGCACCTCCGTCAACCTCCTCATGTGCTCCTCCAGCTCAGCGCGAACATGTCGGATGGCGTCAAGCTTGCCTTCCACGTACTCGAGGTCACTTTCAAGTTTGCGCTTGAAGCCTTCAAGGCCGGCAATTGACTTGGACTGAACGCCCAGGCGGAAGTCAACTTCATCCAGCTCAGCCTGCACCTTGGACCTAACGGCTTCGACTTCAGCTTCCAACCTTCCCTTGTCTGCTTCCAAATCCTCGATGGTTGAAGTCATTGCTTCGACTTGAGCATTGATCTCGGACAAGATGTCGCGCAGCCTTCGTTCGGTCATCTCCATCTCCTGATGTGCTTCTTGATTGGCGTCGATCTTCTTCATCAGAACAGCCTCCTCGCCCTCCTCCTCTTTTGCCATGTTGGCCCATTCAATCATCGCAGCTTTTTCCGCCTCGATCTTGTTCTCAACTCCTTCGATATCAGACTTCATGCTGGCAAGCTTTGAGTCTCTTTCCTCCTCCAAGTTTCGCTTGTGTTGAAGCAGTGAGTTCGAGTTCTTCTGCTCAGCATCGATCCGTGCCTTCAACTCAGCCCGCTCCTGTATCAAGCGATGAGCAAATTCTTTTCAAATTGTCTGAAAGGACCTGCAGCAGCTTGCGTTGAAGCTCCTCAAGTTCCAGCCTTCCGTAGCTTTCTACTTCAAGCTTCTCATGAACAACCTACCCAAGCACAGTCACAATCAAAAGTCTCAATTCAAACCCGTCTCACCTGCAACTCAGCATCGATTTTTCCCATGTATTTTTGCATGTGTGACAGCATTCTCTCAGAAGTTGCCAGCTTGCCATTGACCTCATCAATTTCACCCTTGAACACATCGGTAACCTACAAGATCCAAAGGTCAACCAAAGAAGCCACTGTAGTGTTCATAGATACCTCCTTGAACTCGTGCTCCAAGCGAGTCTTCAACATCTCAAGCTCTTGTTTGTTCCTCTTCGACGCAGCTTCATTTGCCTGTATTCCATGAATTAAAAAAAGGTTCCGTGCAAGTCCCGAATCACCTTCAGATCAGCTTTCTTCGCCTGCAAGTTGTCCAGGTATCGATCAAGATGCGATCTAATGTCTGATGCCGCAATAATAGAGCCCTGCGCAGACATATCATCAAATAGAGATTATAACTCAAAACAATAAACCTTGACAAACTCAAGTTGTTCGGACATCTTCCCAGCATGTTGCTGTAGCTTTTCCATGACCTTGCTTTCTGCACCAATCTGCACTCTGACATTCCCGAGGTCAGCCTCAAGCTTCCCAGTTGCTTCCTTCAAGACAACCTGCAAAACAATAAATAACGCCACTTTCCACAAATTGCAGATCAAGAATACTCACTTGCAGCTTTTCTTTGTGTGATTCCAATTCTTTCTTGGCAATTTTCTCTGCTTCCAATTTGCTGATTACCGCTTCGAGCTCCCCCTACACACATCAATGAGACAGCTTGAAGAATGAAACCTGATTGCTAAACGAAAGCAAAAAATTGCAATCCAATGCGAATCACCTCCAATTTCTTTTGGTAAGCCTCCTGCTTCGATTTAAACTTCGTTTCGATGACAAACTTGCGCTTGAGAAATTCTAGCTCTGTGTTGAGAAGCACACCAAATTCCTTCAAACCAGCTGCAATTTGCTCCTCAGCTTTGATCGCTCCTTTAAGCCTGTGCACTTCTTCCTTGAATGAATTCTTGTTGGCCTCCATCTGCGATTCAAGATCTGCCTTGTCCTGCTTGAGTCGTGCGCTTCTTTCCAATTCCGATTCAAGTTTCTTTTCAATCTCCTCGCTTTCAAATTCAAGTTTCTTGATGAATTCTTCCAGTCGCGTCTTGGATTTGACACAAGCTTCGAGGTTGCCTCGCGCTTCCTCAAGACTCTCCAGCAGATATTCCAGCTGATCCTCTTTGTTCCTCTTGAGCTTCGACGTCGCTCCGAGCTTGGCATCGACCTTTTCGACCTTCTTGGCCAAAGCCTTTCGACTTTGCTGGGTTCATACACAATCAGAAGAGCATCAGCGATGCAGTAAAGGAAACTTACTTCCAAATCTTCAATCAGCTTCGACTTGAGCTCCTGCAATTCTTGACGTGCCCTTACGCCTTGATCAAGCTTCGCACTGACAGTCGTGTGCTCGTTGGCGAGCTTTCGTTTGAAGTCTTCCAATGACTCCAAGGCATGACTTGCCTGGACACAGAACTTGTCAACAACACATCCGTGCCATAGAAAATGTACCTCGTAAGAATTGTACGACATGACCAGATTACCTCCAGCAGACCTGAAATTTGATCAGATACGAGCGCCTGGAAATGATGGAACAATTCGAAGGAATATGTTTGTGTTAGATTTTGAGATTTGGGTGGTTCTCTTGGGGTGATCAAGAAAGTGCATTGCGGCATTTTGATCCCAATCACAGAAAAAATAATGTTCAAATAAGCTTCATCGATAACTTGTTATCCATTATGTCGTTCTTCAAACTCAATAAATTCTACCCAATGTTCCTCCGACAAATAATCTAACTGCTATCGTCGTTGGCTGTTCGGATTGATTGACAACTGCATCTCTATCACTACCCCCTATTCATGCTCGATTTGATATCCTTGTTTGCATCCTTGTTCCCGCACTATCTTTGCTGCTATATCTGTCCCTCCTACTCCATCTCCATTCAGAATTCAATGCACAGAGCTTCCCACTGCCCAAATCCCTCACACATCTTCTCTTTACCAACATCTTGTGCTTGTCTGCATCTTTCTCGTACGATGTTGACCTTTCTTCCCTCCCACACTCCCTCCCTTCCTCTCCTACTACACTTGCATCACTGCCCATTCCTTGTTCTTTGTTCTGCATCTGCCGATGTCTCCCGATTTGGGTGCAGAGGATATACAACCCCACCCTACTACTGAACTACCCTACCCCTGGGCTGATGAACGTTCGTATGTGATCACCCTTAATTTCCTGATATTTTGAACCCTATTTCGTACCACCCCTGCCTTGAAGATTCCATAGACCACCCCTTCACAAACACTTCATGAACAAACGAATGTAACGTTTTCAACGCAAGAGAAACGGAAAAAACTGACGGCGACCGACTCGGACGGTACGGCGGTGACCGCCGCCGGGTCACGGCACGGTACCGTACGGCACGGTACCGGCGGCCCGCGGCCGGACTCCGGGCCCGACTCACTCCCGGACCGTCCCAGTGAGCGGGGCCGCCTGGCGCCGGCCCGGCAATCCGAGTCACGGGCAGTTTGGGGAATCATCCGATCGGCGGACAACAATCGGCACTGCGGCAGGATGAACTTGGTTGGTTCTCGCTGTCTGCGACCTCAGACTAGTTACGGTGGCTTGGAGAGCCTCCTGATTGTCCTCGTCCTGATCGTGATTTTTTGATTTACTTTGAGTGACTCAGTGGAGAAGCTGGCAAGGTCAAGACTCCTCTCGACCGTACCGTCGCACCGTCGTGCCGTGCGGCCCGGCCGCCCTGGCACTGAGGCCGACTCAGCGGGCCGCGCTGTGGTCACCGGGTACCGTGGCATTGTAACGGTATGCAACACAGAATTCAACGGCAAGATACGATAACGGTTGTCAATCAGTGTCCTTGGCAATGGCGGGAGAAAAATGAGGACATGGCGACTGTTGTTGCTCATGGCGGCAATAAACGCGATGTCAGCTGCCTCTCCTCCTCCCAACGACAACCTCCAAAATGCAGCTTGGGTCCAGTCGCGCTTCAAGGTATTAGCTAACGGCTCCACATTCGAAATTTCTTCAGGTGTGAACTACTTCACTGATCCCATCCTGTATCAATTTCTTGAGTTGGATGCTGTGGGGTTCAATGTAGATGCGACGATGCAAGCCAACGAGCCTTCACACGGTTCGCATGAAACCGGGTCTTCCGTATGGTGGAAATGGACCTCCACAGTGAATGCCACGATTCAACTGTCTACAGAAGGATCGGATTTCGATACGACAGTCGCGGTGTACATTCCCGTGCCTTGGAACGGAGTTACCGTCGTGAATCAATTTGGAGTAGCGTTGGTGGCGGAAGGAGACGATATCGTATGGAATCAAGTCCTCCAGACAAGAATAAGTTTCCCCGCGTACGCTGGTTCAACCTATCTCATTGCGGTCGGTGGGTTCCGGCAAAGTCAGGGCAGCATTGTCCTCAAAGGAACTGTCTTGCTATCGATACCCGTACCTCCAAGGATAGTAGTGGTTGAGATGCCTCGCTTGTCCTTGGAACGCCTCGGGGCTTCCATCAATGTAACTGTGAATTATTATGACAAATTCACGAAGATCCTTTTGTCTTGCAGCAATCCAGGTTGCCAGGTATTTTACACTCTTGACGGAACTGTTCCTACGGTGCATCATACTGACATGCAAGGGTTTCTACCGCAAGAATCCACCATGTTGTATCAAACTCCAATAGAGATGGGAAACTTCATGGTGCGGGCGATCGCTGTCAAATTTGGTTGGCAGAATTCGCCTGTGATGACTTCCATGCTGTTTCAATTGCAAGTTGCACTGCCGGTGATAGTGCCTAATGGTGGAATCTTTGACGAGGAGGTGATTGTATACCTAGAGACTGCGAGTGACAAGGGAGGTGAAGAGAGGGCCGTCATGCACTACACGTTAGATGGACAAGAGCCCTCTCTGAATTCTTCTCTCTATGTCGGGAAGCTGGTACTCAGAAACATGTCAGACGTCACCATCAGGGTAAAGGCTTGGATCCCCGGGCGATGGGTTCCAGTCGGAAATCCTAAGTGGGTGACCCGCTGGGTCCCTGGATACCACGAGAGCGAAGTAGCCTCCTCCCTCCCTTTGACCGTGCGCCCTAAACTCCCGATGCCCCACGTTCAGATACACGGGGAAGCAGAGACAGTCATCTTGAAAGGTGGCAATCCCAAGCAAGCGAATGACACGTATACAAGAACAGCTACAATTGAGCTGCAAACTCAAGTGGCTGGAGCTTCGTTAAAGTACCTCTCCATGACAAACTCCGGCTCCACAACTTGGATGGATTACTCTGTCCCTTTTAGTGTTGCAAAAGGCAGATACAGATTCCTTTTCAAGGTATCGAAGAAAGGAATGGTCGACAGCGACATTGTGGGAAGAGAATTCGAGGTATCATTGTACTTGAGACGATTTCATGGAGGAATGACAAAGATTATTTCAGGTTCTTCCACAGATTGATATTGTGGACCCTAACATACAGATCTTTAGCTCTGTCCAGCTGAATGAATATCAGTATTACAGCTTCACTCTAACAGCTCCTGGTTCAGACGTGATCGTACAGTCCATAAGCTACATCGGAGCTACAGATGTCTTTGTCACTGCCAAACAGCTTCGCCCTACCTTGAAAAACTCGTCCTTTTGTGCAGTTCTGGATCATGTGGCCGACGGAGTCGCCTCAATAAGAACACTGACCGTCTTACACACGAACAAGAATGTGGGAATAGATGTCATAGTCGACAGGAATTCTTCTTGCCCTCGCTGTCCTTTCAGCACACCATTGATCGTGGGCGTGCGAGGAGCAAGCAGTGTGGCTTCTCAGTTTGCCTTGCGCTTTACAATCGACACAACTCCGATCATCAGCTTGTCAAATTCATTCCAGTACACCGTGAAATACAGAGAGTGGAGTTTCTTCAAGTTGTATATTGACCCTCGCTTTCTGCAGGATACGTGGAGCTATCGTGTTTCTGTGCAGTCAGGAATCAACAACATTCTCAGCCTGCGCGTGTCTGTCCGGCAGGGAGTCAAACCGACAGGATCTTCGCAGGACGAGCTGAGCACCAGCCTTGGGTCTGCCAACGGTCTGTTTGTCTTGCAAGGGAACAACGTCAAGGTCAACACAGAGCTTTGGTACATTGGAGTTCAATTCATCGTAAGATTCGACTCATCTACGAGCACCAGAATCACACTTCGGGTCGAGCCCATAGCAGCAAATATCCAGGGGGTCACAACGATCCAGGACGATTTCGTGCGTTTGCAACAAAAGAATCAGCAGCAGGTCCAGGAAATTTTCCCCAATCAAGAGGTCGCCGGGTCAGTTATGGTTGCAGGTTTTGAGTTCTTCAAACTTCACATCCCTATTTCACAAGCAACTTTGTCACTTTCGCTGCGTGAAGTCGATGGGTTCACAACGGGGCTTCGAGTCTTCATACAACGATCTACTTTGCCCTCTCTTGCGGACTTCATTGATCAGAACATCACCAGCTCACTCCTCTCCAACACTCTTTCCCTATCTCTCCCTGTCGGTAGTTTTATTGACTACTACATCGGTGTCTACGGTTTCTCTTACAACAAGACGGGCTGGCCGACCCCGACTTACAATTTCCTTCTCACCGTTACGATTAGTCAGAGACCCTCTGCCGCCCCGAAACCGTTCATGATGCCGATCACACCCAACTACAGGTTCTTCTATGCAGTGGCGCAACCAAACACGTACTTGTATTTCTCTCTTTTCTTCTCAGAGGCGAACTCCGACCTCCACATTGTCTTGAGAAAGACCGTCGGGTCCTCTAGCATTTTTGTGTCCACCACCAATCCCTATCCCGGCAGGGATCGGAAGGACGTTGGGTGGTTTTCGGACTGGCAGAGCGACGGGGGAATGAGTGTCGATGTGTTTTCTTTCGATCCAGGCTTCAGACTAGGGATGTTCTATGTATCTGTGTTTGCTCATAGCTACCTTGACATGGGTATCGCAGCGTTTGCTGACAAAACTCCAATCAGTTTGGAGCTGGGCAGGACGATCCGTGCGACGGTCAACACGTACTCCTACCTTTACTATCAATACGAGGTGCGTGCAGCACATGTCAATCTCTCGATCATCGCGACCGAGGAGACGAGCGGAAGATACATGACAATGCTCGTCATGCGCGAAAAAATCCCCACGACGACTGAGAACATCTTTGAGTCTAGTGTAAGTCCTCCACAACACTCTTGTCTATCCCTGACTCTGAGTTGTCGAACCAGATACCTGCTGACAACAAGTCCATCGCGTTCTTCCTTAGCAAGCCTTTGCCTGGAAGATACATCGTCATGATTCACTTCTACAAGTTGGGGTACGCAGGACCTGTCCTCACCCACCAGTACACGCTCACTGCTCGCACGGACTTCTACACTCCCTCGACTATTCGAGATGTTCCCGCAAACTTCCAGGTGACACGGAAAAGAGTTGTCTGTCCGTCCGCCTGTCAGTCTCCCTCTCCCTCTCCCTCTCCCACTCCCACTCCCACTCCCTCTCAAACGCGCATGCCGCTGCTCAACAAAATCGCAGGTGCTGCAGTACAAGCGCTGGGAGAACTTGGGGCTGCCGACACCTCCCAGCTGGGATCTTGAGAGGCCGCAAAGTCAGATCTCCTTCCTGAACCTCGGGACGGCGGTGGAGGTTGTGTTACAAGGAGATTCGTGGGTCTACTACAACTGCTACGTTGAAAAGTTCGCGTCAAAACTCTACGTGACCGCCCAGCCGACCGTCTCCGGGCTATCAGCACAGCTCTACATCCAGTACAAGTCCAAGCCCACCCCTGCCCTCTTCCTTCAGCGGTCGATCGCGCCTGATGCCACCGGTACCTACCGCCTGGAGATTGACAACCCATCGACAAAGGACGTCTATGTCATCGGGATACTTGTCACCGCCAAACAGCAGCCGGGCATGCAGCTCGTCCTGTGGGCCGATATCACTCCTGGGGTGCACTTGTACCCTAATGTGACGACCCTCAAGAACTACCTGATCTCATTCAGCGTGCAACCAGCTCTCACCTACCAGTTCTACCAGATCTCTCTGCCCGCAAACCAGATGGACATCAATATTCAGGTCACTCACTTGTCAGGAAAGACTGACATCATCATGTCAAACGTCAACCAGTGGCCGACTCGTGCTAACTACAACCAGTCCGCTCTCGGCTGGTGGCGATCAGAAGTTCAAGTCGGAGGAGGATCTGAGTTGAGCGTGAAGACTTACCAGGACGGCTACAAGATTAACACGACATACTATGTCTCCATCTTCGCGCCTGTGTCTTCCACGTACTACATCCTGGCGAGGTTGGACTTTCCTCCTCCTACAATTGGGATAGGAAGTACTTTCAGAGGAGACGTCGCTGTTTTCGCCTTCGCTACCTACAGGTTCTACCCAGAAGGCAGGATCTTGAACAGCCTTGTCTTCATCGTCAAGCTTCAGGCTCCTTTCACTACTGGGCTCACAGTCTATATGAAGATCGGCAAGGTTTAACCTGAAACCCCCCCCCCTCCCCCAAACTCCCTCCTCCTCTTTCTCTTTCCTCCTATTTTTGCTCTTCCTGCCTCCGGTCTTGCTCTCGCCTGTCTGACATTTTCCTTGACTTCACTGTTGTGCTTCACTCTTTCGTCCTCCCCTGAATCATTCCGCCTGCTGTTGTCTCCTCTCTTCCTCTCTGATCTTTAATTGCATCGCAGGTTCCGACACTTCAGGATTATGACATGATCGTTGAGACGTGTAACGAATACGGGGAGTACATCCTCATCATTCCATACCCGCAGATCAGCAGCGTCTTCTTCGTGGGCATGTTCGGCCTGCAGAAGAACCTCTTGCTCTCAACAGAGAACTACCAATTTCTCGGTCAACTCATCACAGGAGAGGATTTCAAGAGGTACCGCAGCAGTTCCTTCCACCTCCTCCCCCCTGCACCGGAGGTCAACTTGACGTCTCCTCCTCCTCTGCTGCCCCCCGACACGTCGCTCTCAAGCATGGCGCGCAACGACGGATCCTGGATCTTCCTGAGGGTTCAAGTGGCTGAGAGGATGAGGATAAATGCACACGTTGACTTGGGTGTCGGCAATGCAATCAACATGTCAGCCATGAATATCTCCAGCACAACCTTGACGACCAACAGCTCGATCCTCAATGTCACTTCCAACATCAGCAGCAATTCCTCGTCACCCGTCAATCTTCCTGCTCGCGCTTTCTTGCTCGTGAGAAGAGACGGTCCCCCTTACCGCGTGCTTCCTCCAAGTAACACATCGCAGCTTGACAAGTTTATTTTCGATTTTTGTGCTGTAGACGCCAAAGGAATATGTCTTGCGGCACAGGATGTGGAGCTTGAGTTGGACCCTCCCTCGATGACTTCGAATCAGACCTCATGGTACATCGGGGTGTATGTTGTTGGTTGCAGGACGAGGGAGCAATGTTCATCTTGGGGGTTGTTGTCAAGTTCGTTTCAAGATTGCTTCTGCACACACAACCAATCTGTTGCCTATAACATCACAATCAGTTCGACGAGGGTGAATCGTTTTCCTGTGCACTTGATGTTGAATCCGACCAATGTTGGCAACATCAGCTCACCCTTTGACACATGTCGGTATTACAAGTACAGCTTCGTCGGAAACAAAATCATAGTCCTCACGATCTCCTTGGTTACAGGAAGAGCAACCATCTTCGCCTCTTCTGAGATTCCTTTCCCTTCCAGATCTCACAATGGCACTCTGCTTTCCTCCGAGAGCGTCACCGGTAACCCAACGCTCACTGCGGAAATCGATGGAAAGAATGCGGAGAACTTCTTCTACGTGGGAGTTTGCACGGAAACGTTTGCTGCCTATCAGCTGAGGAGTTATGTAACCGAACGGCTCATTCATGTTAGGCTGAACATGAAATACTCCGGCAGACTAGGTGATGACGATCGAAATCAATTATGCATGAGAGGATATTGATGTAGATGATGTAGATGATGTAGGTAGGGTAATGATGATTTCGATGCTGATGATTATGCCACTGACTATCGATATTCGCGTTGATGACAAACATGACTGTTTTTCCTCAGAGCTGAATAAGATCGTTCCTTCAAACTCGTTCATCATCGATGGAGATGCTCATTTAGGACGGAGAATATCCATCCGTGTCAAACCAGTGAACACAGCATGTGACGGTAGACTCTGCAACGACCTTCTCTGTTGTTCCGGTCGAAATCCTTTCAGTGGCTTTCAAGTTCTACTGAACAAAGACCATCCTGCAACTTTGGTAAATCAATTACCCGAAGATATTCCTAACATACATGACGGTGTTTGCTCGTGTGTGCAGTTCTCGGCGAATGATTTTGATGTTAATCGATCTGTACTTTCTGGTCCCAATCGAGATTGCATTGCAACCCGTAAGAAATTCTTGCAAGATGTCGGTCAACATGTATCATGCTGATCTCTTAATTGCAGAGCCTTGCGCGGGTGGAACATGTTGCTCAACGAACTCGACCTACGAGGTGATTAGAAGCGAGATGTAAACGTTGTGTCGGTGACTCCAGGAGCAGTTGATTGTGGAAAGTGAGCTGTTTAAGAGCATCTTCATCAATGTTCGAGCTGCTCCTCAGTCTTACAACTTGTCTCGTTATACCGATACCTTTGAGATCACCGTCGACTTCGTGGAATTCCAACCCCCTCCCGTCTCCAACGCCACCCAATCGCTACTCGATCATTATTCTTTTCAGGTTGTCGATGGACAGCAGAACCTGGAGAAAACAAGGGTTCCATGGAAACAAGTTGACAACAATTCCGTCTTGAAAGACAAGGAAAGCATCTCATATGTTGCGTCCACGATGCTGATTGCCTTGCAGGTTGAGTATTCACGATGGAACCTGTATCGATTTTTCTCCTCAGTCAATGGGATGTTGTCACTGCAGGTCAAACAGGACTTAGGATCGGGTGGGATGGTGCTGAAGGTGAAGAAGAAGACTCCTCCTCTGCCTCTGGCATCTCCTCCCGCGGTTAGTTCTACACCCTGCGACTTGACACGTTCTTCTAACCTGTGATGATATTACTAGAACTGTTCGTTGCTAGAACTTTATTTTCCAGGCAACAACTGCAGGTAACACATCTTGACAGCACATCCACTTTCGCTTCTCACTGGTAATCACAGTGATGGTATACAAGAAAGCAACGATGTTTCTTGTTACGGGGCCGAAGGGAACAGGCTGAGAATGCTGAATGAGATCAGAATTCCTGCGATCTCGGATAATCCGGCTGATGGAGCGTTTGTTTCTTGTCAAGTTCTGACCAGTCAGAGTGAAGAAGTTTTCTTTGCCATCTTCGGAGAGATTGAAGTGTTTTCTCCCTACTCGTACGAAATGACGTTCGATTTCAAGAAGAAAACGGACTTTGGGCGTGAAGTGACTTGTACCAACATGTCGGTCGGCTCATCCTTCAATGGATCTCTTCTACAAACAGAGATGAAACTGCTCTACATCTCAAACATCTCGCCTGACATGGACATTGACATCATCTTATCTACATCACTCAAGTGAGAACCAGGTTGCTTCCAGTCTCTCCATGTTTCTGATGTTATGGCAGCGCCAAGTACGGGAGATGCTCTTACGGAGAAACTGATGGGATGAGTTGCTTCATGGTCAAACTCCCTCCGCCGGATCTTCAATGCCAGTCTGTCAGTGCAGCCTGGACGGACAGCAGGGGCGACGCATGTCAGCAGTACGAAGAAGAGCCGTCTCGATGTCAGTTTGCTTCTTTCTTTGCAAACGCGTCGAGAGACGCGTCGGTAGAGTGCTGCGGGTGCGGTGGTGGAAAACGTTCTGATTTCACGAGGATTCCAGACAGTTTGCTGCCCTGTCGGGGCTGTCTCATTGAGAGAGGATGGAAATATACAGGAGATACCATCTTCTTCTCTCGTTTCAACCTCACCAGCGAGTGGACAAACTGCAGTTTGTTCACTTGGAGTCACTTGCTAACGGTTGCAAGGTCAAACTTGACCTGCGTCTCAACCGTCACCAACAGGTTGAACGACGCGTTCTTGACTCATCATGAAGTCGACCTCATCTCGGTAGACAGCGAAGCTGAATGCTGCGATCTTTGCAGGAACAATTCCTTATGCACTCACTGGACTATGACCTACGACAGCGTTTGCCTCCGATGCGACAACCAGCACTCTGCTATGGATTTCATTGATATTCTTAATAAGCAAAAGGCCTCGAGCTTGCAAGAATCGGCAATCCTCAACATCTCTCGGGCTCCTCGTTGCTTCTCTACAAGGTCGTTTGGATGTTGCCGCATGTTGAACGCAACTCAGCAAGTCGTCGATGCAACTCGCGTCACCGACGTCAAGAGCACTTCTGGTGCGTTTGGACGATGCGTGCAGACAGAAAACGGTCATGTCGTGATGAAGTGGACGAATACACAAGATTGCAATTCCACCAGTGCTGACAGCATGAAACATCCAATTATAGGTGCCTTCAGTTGCCCCTTCCTCTCCTGCTTTCTCCCCCTCCGCTGTTTCCTTAGTCTTTCCTCCTCGTGCTTCTGCTTTTGTTATCCTCTAACACAGTCAGTAGGATCCCTGGAGGCTCAGGCTGGGCAGCAGCAGGACGACCGTCAGCTGTTCTCATATGCGGGGAGCGAAGCGACAGCGACATGTCTGATGATGTGGAACGGGACAAGCGTTGACCTGAGAGACGGATCGCGAACAGAAGCTAGTCCGACATGCTTGAATTGGTCTTGGAAGACTATCTCTCTTATTTCCAGTCTACAGCACGTCAAGATGTGCCTGGCAAATGTATGATCGCCAGTTTGACTTCAGTCAGGTTGACAGCATTGACAGATTGCCGGAGGCTCGACGACTGCAAGAGTTGTACCATGTACAGCGACAGTCTACCGGGTTGTTAGCAATCAGACGATCACGTTGAAATTTGTGAATTCAGAGGATTTGGTGGATCGATCGATGCTCGAGTGGGATGTGCGATCAAACAGCATCGTCTCTTCTTCTGCTCTCTGCCTGTCTGTCCGCAAGACTGATAACAGGATGGAAGTCACCAACTGCAGCTCTGCTGCGGAACAGTCTTGGACGTTCGACTTCAACAATGGACAGGTATGGAGGTTATTTTGTCTTGTGCAATACTCATTTCGATATTCTCTAACTCTGATCATGCCTTCCTCTTGTTTCAATCAGGTAACAAACTCGTTCACACAACGCTGCTTGACTTCATTTCCTGTTTGTCCGATGGTAAGTCAATGATATCAATCTTCCCATTCTCAACATTGACAGGATGCAAACGAATGGAACTCGGAGTGTGTTTCAGTGAGCTCTGGTTTGACAGCGGAAATCTGCATGCACTCAACGACGTATCAAGTTCAGTCTACCATCCTTGCAGGTTCTCAATTTGACGACTAGAATTTGACATGTCTGATGTTGTTGGACAGACTCTCTGAAGAGAAAAGAACTCTCTTTTCAGCTCACTGCTCTCCTTCCATCCGACTGGACCTTATCAACTTCATATCGACAAGTGTCATTCATTTCATTTTGCATTTCCTCGCGCTCTGACCTGTTCTCGTACAGTCACCAGTTCTCATTCAAGAAGACAGACTGATTGGGATTTACCTGACACCAACAACAGCAGATAAACAGACATTTCGTCTGAAAGTGGTAGATGCTTCGTAGGTTACCTTGAGTCCTCAATTTCTCTTTCAGAATGAGGGCTTCGTGTTTGAGAAGCACTTTGGAATCTACTTGTTCTTGCAAGACAACCTTGCTGATCTCAGGATCGAGACTAAGACACGTGATGCGACGTTGAAGGAAACTTCTGTAATTGATGTCTGTATTCTCATTCACTTCTCACTTGCTGTTGCAGATGTCAAAGGGAGATCTTGTTGGTCTCACAGAAATTGACAAGGTGAATGCGACTAGCTGCAGTTTCTTGTAAACAAAACCTCGCAGAATCTTCGTTCTTTGCAAACGACGGTTCCTCCGGGAGGGTCTCTTGACATCGGTAAGTTATCTTACCATTGCAAACTGTGGGATCGAAACAGAATCTTGTTTTCATGAGAGGCACAAGTATATGTTCATGACTTCATTTCCAGGATTCACTCACTTCAACATCTTATCTGCAATCGAAGTCTGAAACGTTTGTTTTTTAATTTTTGAGGTGATAATGAGACAGGTTGAACTAGGACTTCTTGTCTCTGCAAAACCTTTGGAGGTGCCGAAGAGACCAGAAGAGAATCGATCACCTCTGACATCTTTTGATAGCATATCTTGTCAATGTTCGCTGTCTGGAGCTCGAGGATGGTACTAGAGCAAGAGCACATCAGCGTGTGCGGAAAGCTATTCCCCGGATCATTCACAGTCTGTACGTCTTCCGACATGTTCGACCTAGGAAATCAAGTCTCAAGTCTTATACTTCCAGTCGGGTGATTACCTCTACTTCAATCTTCAATCTTCCATGTTCATGGAAATGTTTTCTTCAGGAGCACCGAGGGATTCGAAGTTTCTATCTCAGCAAACGTTACAGTCCCTTGTCAATTTCGCTTCTCAGTGTTGTCGTCGACAGCGAGACTGAGCTCATCATACCTGTTGACAAGTTACAAGTGGAACAGCAGCATTGTTCGCATGAATCAAACAATCTATGTTGCAGCTTTCAGCGATCTCCTTCTGATCTTCTTGAACCGCACTGAATGTCTCGCCGAGGAACAAACAGTCGAATTTGCCGTTGATGCTTCGGCTCAGGTGAAATAACCATTCTATGTATGTGTTGTTGGCCTATTGTGATGATGACGATGATGACGATGACGATGACGATCGCACTTGTGACGAAATTCATCAGCTGCCTGCTGAGATCGATCTCATTGGACCGCAAACATACATATTCGATATGATCGCGAGATCGTCACGGTCTTCACATCTCAGCCAACACAAGTTGAAAGATTGAAACTCGTGCAGGTTGATCAAGTTTAATGTGGCTGATGGCCAATTTCATTTCTTTCAATTCTGTTTAAGGAACAAAAGTTCTGCAATCCTGGTGCGTCCGTTGCGCTGGTTTTTTTTGAACATTCAACGATCTTTCAGACGATGCGCAAGATAGAAGACGATCGAAACAATGCCGCAAACATCTTTGAACGTCTCGTTTACATCACAAATGACCAGCAGATTGTTCTATCACCAGCAGACGAAGATTTTGTCACAGGTCCAATGGAAGACAGAAGTGAGAGGACATAAAATTTTGTGAATCAGGAGATTGGATGTTATCGATAGAGGCTGAAGTGGACATGATAGTTGAAATGTCTTATGAGACTGTAAGTTGCAAGAGTTTGTTCAGATCTTCATTTTACCTTCATGTCTTCAGGTGGAGAAAGCTTTTCAAATATCCTTCAATCAGGTCAAAATTCTCTCCTATCTCTCCTTTCCTGACAAAAACAATTCTCAAGAAATACTCTCTCAAACTGCCAGAAAGGGAAACATTTGACCAGGGTCTGCTGCTCCTTCCAGCTCAAGCAAAGGTCCTCTATCTACCCCTCCCCTCACAGCGTGACACATCACCTCCTTCAGACTTTCAGGCTGGCGTATAATCCCCTGTCCTCTCTCGACGTCCTGCTGCTCTTTTCTCTTCCTGCGGACTTTCAGGTGGGATGATGAAACAGGGGAGGCTGCAACTCACTTTCCTTCCTGTCCCCCTTTCCTTCTTCTGCTATCCTTCTATCCTAATCTCTCAACCATTCTCTTTTCCTTCCTTTTGCTCCCCCTTGACTTCTCCCTCCTCCCTCCTCTCTCCTCTCCTCTCCTCTCCTCTCCTCTCCTCTCCTCTCCTCTCTTCCCCTCCCCTCCGCTCATCGTTTTGTTCCAGTGCGAACTTTCTGCCTTGATGCGTTGGGAACTTCCACCGACCTCCCGCGAGTGGGGAGCAGGTGTTGTATTGGCTTAAACTGCCTCCTTTTGTCCCTTGTCAACTCCAGCTGTACATCTCCGTTCTCAGCTCGTACTCGTTCTGCCCCTCTTCAGCTGGGGTTGGTAAGTTCCCGCTGACTTTTCGATCCACAGCATCTCTTACTTCAAACTCTCTCAACCTGTCGCTTCCCTGGAAGACTTCCTCCCGCCAAGCATTCTTGTCCATCTCCAGGTTCGACAAGGGAGGACAGCGGAGGCAGGGAAAAAGAAGGGGAGAGAACCCGAGAGGGAGGAGGGAAGGGAAGAGGGAGGGAGGAGGGAGGAGGGAGGGAGGAGGGAGGAGGGAGGGAGTTGGAAAGTGGAGGGAGAGGTGAAATGTGGGGAGGGAGGAGGGATAGGCGAGATGGGGGCTGGGAGGAGGGAGAGGAGGGGGAAGGGATGGGGGGGGGAAGGATGACTGGGCGGTCAGGTGTCCTCTTGGATATCTGGGCAACGGGACTCATTGCCTGTCTGTGTCATCATCGGGTAGAGGAACAGATTTCTGTTGTCAGGTAAGAGCAGACTGAATCTTGACAGCAGTGATGATAGTGATGACGATTGGGATGTTGAGGACTGTAGGAATGATGGAGAAGGAGATTGTGGATGGTAATGGTGGTGGTGGTGGTAGTGGTGATGGTGATGATGATAGCGATGACGTAGACGACGATGATGACGACGATGATGATATTATCAGTAGATCAGGAGGAGAATAGTGGTAGGAATTGTTGCTGTAGTAGAACGAGGAGGTGTTGGTGTTGGTGGTGGGGAGAGGCAGCAGAAAGAGGATGTTGACTGAGGTTGTGCCAGGTAAATGGCCAGTGTGAGTTGAACACCACCATCGCAAACATGACAGACTCTCAATCCTCATGCTATGTAAAGTTTTATGTGACAACCATTTAAGATCGGCATGCCGACATGTAAATACGATGTAACAATACAAGAAGACCAAACCAACACATGATCTTGTTATCTCATCTTTGAAGGCCAGGCAATGGTATCAGCTGCTACAGGTTCAGCTCGCAAGCATTCTATGGTACAAACTCACCTGCTCTGTTCAAATTGAACATCTCCACTCCAACAGGACCATAGACAGCCTGTAACCTTGCTTCAGCAGCTTCCCCTTGCCCTTTCCTGCTGCATGCTTGCTCCTGTTCCCTCCTCACCCCTGCTCTCCTCCCTTACTCAATCTGCCCTCCTCACTCTCTCTTCAGCTCTCTTCCCCTCTCTCCTCCTCACAACCTTGAAGTAGTGCTGGGCAGGAGCCTCACTCGGGTACTCCTCCTGCTCCTCCCTCGCCTGCTCCGAGTCAGTGCACTCAAACCCCAGCAGTCAGCCTCACCATCCTCTGCCTCGCCCTCAGCCCTTCGTTACTGACAGCAGCGTCATCTTCGCACCGATCAGCAGCACCGTCTCACCTCTTCTCCTCCTCCTCTCTCCCGCTCGTCAGGTGCCTCCACTCGTAGTCATACTGCGACTCAGGGTAGCTCCTCCTCGACCCATCCATCATCCGTTCGTCCCCCTCCACCTCCCTCACGGCCCCTTGAGGGATCTTCATGTCCGGCCCGTACTTGGCCTTCACGTACTCCGGCGTCAGCCTCCCTGAAGGGTACTCCGAGCACCCGATGCCGGAGGGATCCTGTTCACAAGGGGAGGCAGAGGCTACTGGGAACTGGTTGTTGCTGATGGCCGAGTCGATGCGCTGTCGGATGATCCTCTTCGACCTCTGCTTCGTGCGCTCCGTCGCCTCCCATGCATCCTACGAGACGTCAGAGCCGTGATGACGTCATCTCGTTCCCCTCGCTGACCTTGGGAGTGAGCAACTGCCCTCCCCCTGCCGCTTGCAGAAGATTTTGCATAGCGCGAGATTCCTCGTCTTCGGGAACCTGGGCAACGAAGGAAGAAAGTCAAGTGAGCGAAGTATAGGATCAATCGCGGCATGAAGCAGGAAGCTAGACACACCTTCGCTTCATCCACGTGGTACCCGTAGGGAAGGTTGGCTCTCCAGTCTTCCGGTCCTCCGACCACACCAGGAGCGCCCTTGGCCTTCTTAGCAGCACTAGGGAACTGACTGTCGGCAAGCCAGCCATTCCAACGAATGCTTGGGGGTTGATAGCTGTCGAGCTCAGAGGTAGAGCGTTCTGACGACTGACAGGGTTCAACTAGTGAGAAGGGTACGAACACTCCTCAACAAAGACTTCTTCCCTCCTCCACCTCTCACAACAAACTTCGCCTCCCTCAGTCGTACATCCATGGTCCATCATCTTACCATCATCGTCGTTATCAGTAGCACCGCCGCCATCGCTGCCATCACCGCTGCAACCCTCCTTGCCCCCACCATGATGTCCCTTTGCGAAATTTAAAAGTATTATTGGCCAAAATACATTCTGAAAGATTGGCTCTATAGTTTCATAGTTCCAGAAGTTGCAAAGAAAGTTTCAAAGTTTCAAAGTTCGACTGTCGGGATCAACCCAATGAACATTTCGATTCTCCTCACCGCTAAGCGAGCGAGAAGAAGAGAAGAACAAGACGAGAAGGTGAGAAGAAGAACAAGACGAGAAGGTGAGAAGAAGAACAAGACGAGAAGGTGAGAAGAATATGATGAAAGAAGGCAAGAAGTAGAAGCACATGATACCATATGGTTTCTCATGTCCATGTGATTTCGTGTAGCACTTTGCACGAATGGCATGGCGAGCCACGATGTGAGTGATTGCGACCGCATGAACATTCTTGGTGTCTTCACGTCTCAGGTGACATGTCTTGTAATCCTCCTCTTCATTGCTCAACAATGCAACTGCGAGCACAATGTTGGTGTCGTCATCAGACTCGATGCTTACGAATCCATCGCGTACGCTCTGACGCTCTTGGGGTCTCTTGCGAGGAAGCAGAGGGAGCTTGCAGGACCAAACCTCACGTTGAGTATCGACGTGTTTGTTGTCAGCCCTGAGCTGTCTGCTCCTCTTCATGGCCATGCTCTCTCCCACTGGGACGCAGATGAGGTTGGATGTTCCGCTTTCCTTGCTTCCCTGGGCCAGGAGACGAGGAGGATGGAATCGAAGATGTTATTTGCTGAGCATGGACAATCTCTGAGAAGCTGGTCGAGCAACAAGACTGTGTTGTTGGCTGTCGACCTATGGCTGTCACCCGATGTGTGTGATGGGGAGACAACATCAGAACTAGCTTCCGTTCGGTCCAGATGTTTCGTAGCTCTCACTTCAGACGCTGTGAAGGTCCTCGAGCAAGGGATAGACTTTTCACCTTGGGGGAGCGCGAGACGGAAACTTGAAGTCTGGGTGCCCGGGCCCTGGGAGGAGGAGAAGCTCAGTACGCTTGCGAGCAGTAGGAGGCTGGGGATCAGATCGGTGCTGCTTCCATTTGCGTTGAATGATGCTGTTGTTGTAGAGGGTTGGAGAGATGAAGGAGTGACGGGAAGGAGGAGGAGAGAAACCAAGCAGAGAAGGAGGTTGACGATTGGAGTGTTTGCGATGAGGAGGGAATTTACGTCTTGTGAGATTGATGCTGTCATTCATTCGTGTCGGGTTGTGTCGGAGACAAACAAACAGAACAAGGAGGATGTTGCGAGTGGAAAGAAAGCATTGGATCAAGTCATGCAGGCTGAACTACTTCTGGGAGGTCACTCTTCGCTGATTGCAAACTTGACATCACTCATGGCGCGTATCGAGACTTGCTCGCTGCTGAACAAAAGCAAGCTTCTCACCCTCACTCGATGCGTAACGAAATCAGATGTGAGATCTGCGATGATGGAGCATAACGTCTCCATCATGATGTTTGTGAGACCTTGATGCCTCCCCGTGTTGTCTTGTGACCAGCTGAAGCAGCCACACCCTTGTTTGCCTGCTACACGAACTCTGGCGTTGCAAGTAAGAGCTGGAGGATGAGGTGGTGGTGATAGAGAGGGGGAAGGAGAAGAGAGGGAGATGGAGGGAGAGGGAGGGAGAGGAAGATTGAATGAGTAGCAAGGTATGGGGTGGAGCTCATGCTGTTGGCAGGCTCAACATGCAGGGGTCGCGATCTTGTCTGAGAGGACGCGAGTGATGATGGAGATCGTGACAGACGGGCATGACGGAGTCCTGATAGACAAGAGGGAGAGGAGAGAGGAAGAGGAACGTGAGGGGAACCTGGCGGACTGGAAGTCGGGACTGATGAAGATGACGAGTTTGCAAGACAGTGAGGGAAACTCAATGTGTTTGCTGAGGAGACTGAGCTCTGGTCAACCTGGAATCGTCTTGGCGCGTCAGGTGAAATATTTTTCATAATGAACTTCGATCGTTTTCTTGGATCACAGATGCACTGCATGATAGATTGAAAGATTGAAATCCTTTGATCTTGCTATACATGGTTTCGGTATTGATCTCAAACTCTGATACTTTTTACAGCATGCCTTTCTCCTGCATGTTTGGTACCGATTGACTCGCAAGGAGTTTGACCGTCCTCCAACGGTAAATTCTCCTCCTCCTCCTCCTCCTCCTCCTCCTCCTCCTCCTCCTCCTCTCCCCTTCGACCTCCCCCCCATCCCCTTGCCATGGCATCTACCTCCTCTTCGATCATCCTTACCGCCATCACAACAATCATGTTCTTGCGCTCACCGTCATCTTCAGATAATAAGTTTTTGGCCGGGACCTCACGCTCTTCATCGTCGCACTGAATTATTTCGCTCAGACGCGTTTCGTCGTTTCGGTTTTCATGTGGAAGAGGTAAATGTGCGAACGAGTGGTAAAGGTTTGACTGGTTGCAGCTGACTTACCCTGATTCACTGGATCATATCTTCTCTCAAAATCACACATCTCAACGCAGCAACGAACATGTCTTGTTTGCAATCGCGTCAAAACCTTCCTTGTCTTTTGTTCGAGAGTTTCGGAGGTTAAACCATTTGCACATGTGTCAAGAATCAATCCTGATGATCCGCAGCAAGACAAAGTTGAAACTCCTCGTGTGGACTTGGGATTTGATCGATTACGAAGAAGACAAGACAAGGAGGTTGGGAAATCTCTCAGTATTTATGATCTTTAACCTGATGAGTGAGCAGGAAATGGTTCGAAGAAGTGATCAACCTTGTTGATGCAGCATTTCTCAACGAGATGGGTCGAGAGTACAAGTTGTGGTTGAAGCAGCACGGAGCAGTGAGTCGACTTGTGAAATGTCATGAAAGATAAGGCAGGAGAAGGAGAAGGAACCAGTGTTGGTTGCAGGAGAGGAGGCGGCAGATAGAAAGATGCTCGAAGATGATGGGATGGAGAGAGGGAGGGAGGGAGGGAGAGAAGCAAGCAGCAGGCAGGCAGGCATGCAGGCATGCATGCATGCAGGCAGGCAGGCAGGAGCATTCGGGTCAAGAGACTAGTTTGACGTCTCTCTGTATTCCGCAGGAAGTCCACTATGTGGATGATGGGACAGTGACGATCGGAGATAGAGGAGGAGGAAGGCGACCAAAAAGATTCCCTTTGATCGATACAGAAGATGCAGTTGTTTTCGTAGGTAGCAAACATTACCGTTCACTCCACACCTTTCTCTGCTGTACTCCTGTTCAACCTTCTCCTTCTCCTCTTCTTCCTCTTCCTCCTCGTTCTCTACCTGATCCTCCTCCTCCCCCACAACTCCCCTCCTCCTCCTTCGTTGTTCTCTTCCCTTTCCTCGTCCCCTGTCCTCATGCTCTTCTCTCCTACTTCTCACTTCCTCGCCACTGCTGGTGTTCGCAGGCTCCCTCCAAGGAGATGACCCTCTAAGGACCAGAGCGATCAGAGCACTTCTCGATGCCGACATCAAGGTCAAGCTCATCCTTCCTCGTCCTCCTCCTCCTTGCTCTTTCTCTGCTCAATATATCTCTCCTTCCTCCTGCTACTGCCAGCTCTCTTGTTTCTATCGTACTCCCTCTATTCTCCATCGTCCTCCCTCACCACCTCTCCCTCATCTCGATCTCCATGTCCTCGGCTTTCTCTCTCCTTCTTCAACTCTTGTCAGGTGAACATCTACGGGCCGGAGGAGCCGTGGGCGCGAGCAGGGTTCAGGACAGCAGGAGAAGTCTGGGCAGAGGACGCGGCAGCTGTTGACTCAGCAGCTCAGCTTGTCCTCTGCGTCTCCCGCTCGTCCTCCCCTCTCCTCTCCCTCTACAAGTCCGACAGACTCTTTCGCTCTGCCGGAGCTGGAGCATGCATCCTCTGTAATGATTTCAGAGGTCTTGACTTGGTCAGTCCCTCGCTCGTCGTTCTTCTCCCCTTCCCCTTTCCTTCCCCCCCTCAACTCACCCCCAGCTCTCTCTCTCTCCCTCCCTCCCTCCCTCCCTCACGCAAACT